GCGTGAGTAACCTACCGTTACTCACAATAGGTGATTATTATTATCACTCTCTTAATAAAATGGTAAAAGGGAAAATAGAGACCGGGCAGGGATATGGTATGGGTATTGGTGGGTGTAATAGGTTGTGTCTTGTGGCCAATGGGGCATGGCTTGGTTACACTATTTCTCTGTCCGTGTTGGTTAAGGACCATCCATTATTGTGGGCGGTAGTCAGGTCACAGACCTATTATCCTGAGCACATACTTGCTTATGGGAGCGGGAAGGCTCGTTGCTCTCTTGTCATAGGTTCCGGCTCTTTCTAGACCAACTGCTTAGAGGTGGGGATGGTGGAGGTCTAGGCACCACACTAAGTCTAGGACTCAGGTGTGGGGGCTTGGAGTCCAAGTTTGGACGGGGACCTAGACCCCTTAACAGGAGAGTGGTGGGTTGGTCTTGCTTGTGCCTGGGGTGCAAGCAGGGCATGTGTTTTGAGGTACCCAGCTAGGATACATTGGTTCGTGAATCACCGTGTGATACGGTATGACTTGGCTATGGTCTAGCACTGTAGTAAGAACTAGAAGATGAAAGATGATCAATGGATCTTAATGCTCAACTCTTGCTTGAAAGTAGAACAGGTGCTTACATAGAATGGTTAGCTAATGAACTAATCATGACTGCTAATAAAACACTTACATAAGGATTCACTACTAGAATGCTTTTTCACAAACAAAAGAAACCCAGCAAACCATAAAGCCTTTCATATCCTTTGGAGTCGGGAAATTATTTCCACTAGTCGGGTAAGTCTTGCGAGTACATTGTGTACTCAGGGTTTATTTACCCCTATTGCAGGTGCAGCTTGAGGAGTGGGTTTGTGTGGAGGATTCTTCTGGTGGGCACAGATGGATCCTTGTATCTTATCGTTACATGTTTATTTCAATTCTACTATTTAAATTCCATACTCTAAACTTGGTATTGTAATAATTTATTTCTAAGAACTCCTATTGTATGAAATGGACTAAGTATTGTAAACTCGTTCTCATTATTGGATCCTGGATGTAAAATGTGGATGGTTTGAGTTCTACCTTGGGGTGTGCTCGACAGAACTACTAGAGGTAACCCACTTTCGAGGTGCTTAGTGTCTAGAGGGAGACAAGAGCCTCTGGAAGTATGTTATTTCAGGCGGTTCTGCCACATCGGGCTTCCTTTCTAGGCGGCGATGCCTAGGCTTATCCGCCAGTCACTCATGCCCAAGCCAACTCCCCATGCCCCATCCGAACAAAACACCACAGAGCTTATCTCCTCCCCATCGCATGCCCTCTCTCTCTCCATCCCTCTCCCTGATGATATCCTCCCCGCGGTCACGCCCCACTGCCTCCCCGCGCCCCCACCCATGCCGACTTGGGGTTTTGGTAGGTCCAGCTCTAGCTACGGTGGGTTCAACTCTGGCGATGGTGGCGGCTCCGGTGAGGTAGGTGGCTTCCTCCTTCTCCACCTCCTCCTAGATCTGCTTGTTGTTGATATTTCTTATGACTATTGCACTAATTTCGCAAGTGCACAGAATATATTGATGTAGCACTTCATTTGGGAGTATTCCATGTATCGTATTTATTTCCACAGGGAAGGCATAGTATGACTAAGACAGATGATTATATAATTTCTAGTGAATTGACTATGAATGATTATAACAGGGTAAAGGAATGTAAATAGTATCAATTAAATAATAAAAGAAAAATACAACAACGGTCACAGAGTAAATGAAGATAAATTAAGTACTATCTTAACTGTAATTCAATTTATCAATTATCTAGCAAGATAAGCAATGATAATACTTCGGGGCATGCCTGCCCTAAACTCACTCAAAGGTTGATTAGGCACAAAGCACCATGAGACCTATGATTTAACAACTAGCTCTATTGTGGTGGAATATAGATGATGGACAGGGCTGTCACGTCCTGCCACCAACCACAATCTATCCGGAGAACAAGCCACAACCCAAGGTACTCTATAGTCTAAGCATCACGCTTACACTAAGTGATACTACTCTAACCATGCGCTAAGATCAGTGCACCAACTAGTGACGAGGATCTCGTATATCAGAAACTTACTACTAAACAAGATATGATCAAAATATTCATAGCACAACTATACTCTAATGCAAGTAAGTAAATGCTAGAAATAAGACAAGTACTAAAGGAAATATATAAAGCAAAAGTAGCTTACAAAGAGCTTACAGAGACTCCCAAAGACTTCTCCAAGCTCCTAGCTCTTCACTTCTTCACTCTCACTATCACTACTAGCCTAAACTTGGACTAGAGAGAATGATTCTACTTGGGATGACTTACAACTGAGATGAACACCTTTATTTATAGCACCTAGGAGCTAGGGGGTACTTGTAGGCAGTGGGTAAGGCGGTGGCAGTGCCTTGGGCATCGGGCAACGCCATAGGGCGTCGACAGATCGTGGGATGCACCGCCATTGCATCCTAAGGCCTTGAGTGATCCTCAAAGGTGATTGTTTGCACAGTAGGTATGTTACTTTGGTCAGTAACTTGCTTGAGAGTATGACAATGGGGCCTTCAATCCATGTGAGGTGAGTTGGTGGCCCTTGGATCAAACGGACTTGAATCAATGCATGGATGTGCTTCTAGACTTGCCACATCATTAGGCACACGGATCAGTGACATGGCAGACACCAGGTGGGGCCGAGCAATGCCACATGGCATCGAACGATGCCACCTGTGGGCCCATGTTGGTCCTTGCCTGCTGGTGGGCCTGCTGGTATGTCCCTTTTGCTCATTTTCACAAATTTTCCTACATTCAAATAAACTTCATGTACAAGTGGAATTCCATTAGTAATAAACCAAATTTCTGCATTTCATGTTGATTTCCCTTGGAATGTTTGCATTGTTGATGGCTAAAATAGGTGTTTAGTGACCATCAACACTTGTTAGGGTTCCAGCGAGCTCTCCCTCTCATCTTCCCAAACTTCGGTGGCCTTAAAAGGAAAGGAGTTTAGGGGAGGAAGGCCGGCCAACAGTGGGGATGCCGGCGGGCGGTTTAGGGGCCCTGGTGGCGGTGGAAGTGGCTGGGCTAGGTAGGGGCAGGGGCGCCATGGCCATGGCAGCAGGGGCAGGGGAGGGGGAAGGAGGAGGCGCCGTAGGGGGCGGTGGGGGGAGGAGTGCAAGCCTACTCATGAATGATAGGAGGAAGAAGAAAGCTCTTGTCGTGAATGGCATGAGGAAGAAGAAAGCACAACTGTCGTTAGATGTAGATCCTGCAGTCTAGATTATTGACTTACACTTAAACACTATTTTACTCACCTGCCATAAATGTGTTTCTCAGGTTCCCACACAACATGGCTCAAACACTTAAACAGGTAAGGAGCTTCTCTAATTTTTCCTCACTCCTAGGCAAAAAATTTCCACCTGTTCCATTCAAGCCTCCTTGTCCTTCATACCATGTCACGTTCGCCCCTCTCTCTCACTCATTCGCACTCAGCCTTCCTTTCCTAGGGCGCCTAGGCTTATCCGTCAGTCACCCGCTCCTAAGCCAACTCCTCGCGCCTCGTCCGCACACAACGTCATGCGGCTTATCTCCTCCCCGATGCACGCACTCTCTCTCGAGCTCCTTCCCATGTCCATGCCCCACTGCCTCTCTCTCGCTCGCTTGGGTTTATTCGTCAGTCACCCACGCCCAAGCCAACTCCCCATGCCCCATCCACGCACAATGTCGTGCGGCTTATCTCCTTCCCACCACACACACACACTCTCTCTCTCTCTCTCTCTCTCTCCCCGCCTGGCAAGCTCCTCCCTATGGCCATGCCCCACCGCCTCCCTATGTCCCCACCCGCACCGGCTTGGGGTTCTGGCAAGTCTAGCTCTGGCGACGGCGGGTTGAGCTCCAGTGGTGATGGCAGCTCCGGTGAGGTAGGTGGCTTTCTCCTCCTCCTAGATATGCTTGTTAGGGTTCCGACGAGGTCTCCCTCTCATCTTCCTAAACTCTGGTGGCCTTAAAAGGAAAGGGGTTTAGGGAAGGAAGGTCGGTCAACCGGTGGAATCGGGGTGAGGGAGGGGAAGAAGATGTGGCCCAGCTGTGGAGCTCCGGTGATACCCTAGCTCACCGCGGCGGGGCGGTGGGCGGTGGTAGGGACGAGGAGGAGCACAAGCCTGCTCGCGAACGGCACAAGGAAGAAGAAAGCTCTAGACGTGAATGGCAGGAAGAAGAAGAAAGCATAGCTGCCGTTAGATATGGATCCTGCGGTCCAGATTATTGACGGACACTTTAACAAAATTTTAGTCACCTGCCATAAATGTGTTTCTTAGGTTCCCACACGACGTGGTTCAAACACTTAAACAGGTAAGGAGTTGCTCCAATTTTTTTCTCACTCCTAGCCAAAACTGTTCCACCTGTTTCATTCATCTCTCCTTGTCCCTCGTAGCCCATACCATTCGCCCCTCTCGCTCACTCGCTCTCAGCCTACCTTTCATGGCAGCGATGCCTAGGCGGGCGAGTGTAGTCGCCCCTTGGCAGCTCTTCATTGGCCCCTTCACCGGTGATTGGCGCCGCGTCTTCTTTGGCCCTTTCGCGCCGAAAATTAGCACCCACCAGGTACGCTCGCCCCTTCTCTTCCTTCTTGCTGTTCGAAACCCAGCTCACGATCTCTATCTAATGTATGCTACTCCTATTTGGATCTGACCCAATTACATGAATACACATGTAATATGACTACTAACTTCAATTTCTTCTACAAAAAAGTATCAGGTTATATGTGGTCACCATATCACACGCTGGGTCTGCCCCTGAGAGCAGCAGTGAAACTGAAACATATCGAAATCGATATTTTGGTACACTAGTTGACTTACTAATTTAATTATTTTTGATTTGATTGTTAGTTTCAATGTTTGGTTAATTCATCATCCATGATAAATAGCATCTCAAATGGTGGTGCTGAACTGCTGCTGGAGCAGGATTGAAGGGGCTATATAGAGTTGGGCACAGTTGACCTGATCGCCTGAGACTGAAATGTCATTGGTGGTGAAGCAGTACCGATGTACACACTCTACGAGCTGTGCTTGCCTCAAGGGCCATGTCAGGGAGGATGCAATGTATCTCATGTTCCCACACATGAATTGGAACCCAAAGATGATTGCTATCTTATCCAATGTATGTAAGTGGTTTGATGAATTTGCCAAGAGGGTGCTCTGGAACGAATTCTGCAATGCTAGGGCACCAAAGATGATGAAGGATTTGCACTATGAAGGAAGCCATATTGTTGATGGCAACTTGAAGGCCCAAGGGAAGCTTCTTATCTATTGCGCAGGGTGCCCTAGTGGAGACCTATTTAGTAATATCCAGGATCCAATACTAGGGCACTTTGTCTACAGGATCCATATTTCTAGGACATTGTTGAAGAGCTTATTGGCACCACAGTGTAGGTCTGAAGGGGCGTGTTAAGGGAGTGCGTGTAGCCCAAAACATGAGAAATAAATGTGTTTCTCGCTTCCCCAACAACGTGGCTCAAACACTTTTTTTGAAATGGGTGGTGCAAACACTTAAATAGGCAAGAAGCTGCTCCATTTTTTCCCCACCCCTAGCCAAAAATTTTAGTAATGCTAAACACCAATCGGTTGTTTTAACCAACTCCAACACCCGACTCCCTCCTTCCCGACATGCATGCGACTCTCTCCTCCCTGACGTGCACGCGCTCAGCGCTCCTCCCCACGCAGCTCCTCTCTCCCTCCCCTCCGACGGCGACGGTGGGTTCCAGCGGTGCCAGCACCGACAAGGTACGCCGGTCTCCCCTCCTCATCCTCCTCTTCCTATAGAGCAGACACGTAAGATTCGGATGACGCTCAGGCGATGCTCTGGCTCCCACGCGCCCCGTGCCCCGCTCCCACGCGGCACCTCCCTCTCTCCCCTTTGGTGGTAGATCCTCCCCAACGTGCCCGATGCGCACACGCTCCTCCCCACACGGCTCCTCCCTCTATCCCATTCGGTGACAGTGGCGGGTTCCAGCGGCGGTGAGGTAGGTGGTTCCTCCTCCTCCTAGATCTACGAGTTAGGGTTCCAACGAGCTTCTCCTCTCTCTCCCAACTCCTATGAGCTTCTCCTCTCTCTCACTCTCATAACTCTGACGACCTTAGAAAAAGAGGGGCTGTGGGGATGTAGGCAGGCCAGGCGGTGGGGACAGCTATCAGGCGGTTCGGGGCCCTGGTGGCAGTGGAGACGGTGGGTCAAGCCAGGCCGTTCGCCGGAGTTGGAGATGAAAGCAACGGTGGGAGGGTCGAGGGAAATAGGGAGGCTGCCCCTATACGGTGGTGGCGGGAGCAAGGAGTACACCGGTGCGGACAGAGATGGGAGCTTCCTTGCCCCCCGCCGTCGCCCACCATCTGTTGGTATAAATTAACACACACAGATAAATCCACAAGCGCACGGATACCGCTGTAGCTTTCACCCAGAAGTATTCCAAGTATCGTATCCATAGGGAAACGTGTGAGACTAACTACGGTCTAACTTAACTAAGGGTAGCAACAAGGTTAGGATAAATAGGAGCATAGAGAGGATAACTAAGGTTCTCTAGTTCTGACTTGGGTAAGCTATGTCTTTTATTATTAAACTAGGGACATTACTTAGTGAAAGACACCAGCAAAGGATGCTTTCCTTCGTAATCGGGTCCTACTTGCACCTACAGACGGAAGGTGGACTACAAAGGATCAATGAAGCTATATAGTACAGGCTATATAGAACTTATGTCACTCACGCAATCTACCACCTTCCGGAATGTAGGGTGCATCCACGATTAACCCAAGTCTAAGCACCACGCTTACACTTACGATTAATACTTTACTCCCCCTATGTAGAGAATAAAGCACTCAAAAGAGTCACAAACCTAATGAACAATATAAACAAGATGCTTACTTGAATCAGAAGTTGATTACCAAAGAAATCTCATAAGCAAGCTCAGGTAGAACTTAAATCCGCCAAGGTACAAGCCGTAGAGAGAGCACTGATAGGTCGGCACCTCCAAACTCTTCCCCCACTCTCTATCTCACTATTTCTAATCATAAGACTAAATCCTATGGAGCACTAATCTTCTCTTTATGGTTGGCTTTGATCCTCATGATTTGAATTAGGGTTTTAGGGATCTGTTGAGGGAGGGGGGTAGGGGCTGGTATATATAGGCCAAAGCGTCAATCCTGAGCCCTCGGAACAAACCGACTTGAAAGAACAGTGTAGATGCAATCTAGGAGGTGGTGGAGAACCAACTTTCAAAACGGAGGCTGACTGGTGGGACCCATAGGCTGGCCGGCCCCACATGGCAAGCCCTCAGGGTCTGCTTCAGTGGAGAGCCTCCTAGAGTCTTCTAAAATCTTCCCACACTGTTTACGCGGTGGAATTCTGTAATTTTCTTTGTCGAATAGGTCCCCCTTGGCGGTTTTCTGGATAAACCCTGCTGAAAACACAGATTCACCAAAACTCATAGTATTTATTAGTTTAAACCCCTGTACCTATGTTTGGTGATTGAATTAAGTATATATGTAGGTTATGTTGACGGTTTATAATTGATGTTAGTGACCGTCAACACCACCCTACCGAGGTGGCCTCCCTATTTCCCACTACCCTCCCATCGTCGCTCTCTTCTCCAACATCGACGAATGGCCTGGCCTGGCCCCGCTGCCTACACCGTCGCCAGGGGCCCGAACCGATTACATGTATGAGAGGAAATTGCTAAATCTCAAGTTAACACCATTATGGGTAACTAAAATCAAGACAACATTCTCGCTTCTCTGACTCTACACTAGTCTATTGTTTTTTATTTCCCTTTCTCTTCAAGTTGCCTTTTTTTATTTGTACCGAGTACAACTTTGTAAGTGAACGAAAGCGCCATCCATCTTCCACGCCATCACCACGGGCATTCCTTCTCCATTCACTCCCCACCTTGTTACTGCCACGGAGTGCCCCTGGTTCATCCTCATCCTCCTTGCCATCACCATGGGGCATCTCTTCATTATCTTCTTCCTCGATGCCATCGCCATTGAGTGCCTCGTCTTTGTCTTCTTCCTTCTTATCATCACCATGACACTCTTCTTTGTCAATTTTTTTCATGCTATCACCATGGAGCACTTCTTTCCCATCCTCTCCTACTTCTATGGTCAGTGTCTGACCTAGTGGAGACCTATTTAGTAATATCCATGACCCAGTCCCAGGTCACTTTGTCTACAGGACCCAATTTTCTAGGACATTGGGGAAGAGCTTATTGGTGTCACAGTGCAGGTCTAAAGGGGCGTGTTAAGAGAGTGTGTGTAGCACAAAACATGAGAAAGAAATGTGTTTCTCGCTTCCCCAACAACGTGGCTCAAACACTTTTTTAAAAAGGTGGCTCAAACACTTAAATAGGCAAGGAGCTGCTCCATTTCCCCCCACCCCTAGCCAAAATTTTTGAGTAATGCTAAACACGAATCGGGCGTTTTATCCAACTCCAACACCCAACGCCCTCCTCCCCAACGCGCACGCGCTCGGCGCTCCTCCCCATGTGGCTCCTCCCTCTGTCCCCTTCGACGGCAGCAGCGGGTTCCGACGGCATCGGCGCCGACAAGGTAGGTCGGTCCCCCCTCCTTCTCCTCTTCCCATAGAGCAGACACATAAGATTCGGGTGATGCTCAGGTGACGCTCTGGCTCCCCCGTGCCCCGTGCCCCGTGCCCCGCTCGCACGTGGCTCCTCCCTCTCTTCCCTCCGGCGGTGGATCCTCCCCAACGCGCTCGATGTGCACATGCTCCTTCCCACACGGCTCCTCCCTTTGTCCCCTTCGACGGCGATGACAGGTTCTGGCGGCGGTGAGGAGGCGGTTCCTCCTCCTCCTGGATCTACGAGTTAGGGTTTCGACGAGCTTCTCCTCTCTCTTTTCTAACTCATGCGAGCTTCTCCTCTCTCTCTCTCGCTCTCTCCCAACTCCGACGACCTTAGAAAAATTGGGGCTCTAGGGAGGTAGGCAGACCAGGCGGTGGGGGCTGCTATCAGGCGATTCAGGGCCCTGGCGACGATGGAGGCGGCGGGCCAGGCCAGGCCGTTCGTCGGAGGTGGAGATGAAAGTAGCGGCGGAAGGGTGGAGGGAAACAGGGAGGCTGCCTTGGCAGGGCGGGGGGGGGCAAGCAACATGCCGGTGCAGACACCATGGCGAGAGGTGGAAGCTTTCTTGCCCCCGCCGCCGCCCACCACCTTGCCAAGGTGGCCTCCCTCTTTCCCTCCACCCTCTCGCTGCCACTTTCTTCTCCAACTCCGGCGAATGGCCTGGCCTGGCCCCGCCGCCTCCACCGTCGCTAGGCCTCGAACCGATTACATGTATGAGTGGAAATTGCTAAATCTCAAGTTAACACCTCGAAATTATGGGTAACTAAAATGAAGACAACATTCTCGCTTCTCCCACTCTACACTAGTCTGTTCTTTTTCTTTCCCTTTCTCTTCAAGTTTCCTTTTTCAATTTGTACCGAGTATAACTCTGTAAATGAACGAAAGCGCCATCCATCTTCCACGCCATCACCACAGGGCATTCCTTCTCCATTCACTCCTACCTTGTCACTGCCATGGAGTGCCCCTGGTTCATCCTCGTCCTTGCCATCACCATGGGGCATCTCTTCATTATATTCTTTCTCATTGCCATCGCCATTGAGTGCCTCTTCTTTGTCTTCTTCCTTCTTGTCATCACCATGACACTCTTCATCAAGTTTCTCCTTGCTATCACCATGGAACACTTCTTTCCCATCCTCTCCCACTTCTATGGTTAGTGTCTGACCTAATGGTTCATTCACATTGGATCCGTGTGAAGCACCACGAGAAATTAATAGCTTTTGAACATAGCCAAATCTTTACGTTCGGCAGTTGCAGCTTATTTACGCAAGCGATGCATGCATCCGCCAAACGCCTGTGTTGGATACGTGTTAAGGGAGTGCGTGTAGCACAAAACATGAGAAATAAATGTGTCTCGCTTCCCCAGCAACGTGGCTCAAACAGTTTTTTTAAACGGGTGGCTCAAACACTTAAACAGGCAAGGAGCTGCTCCATTTTTCCCCACCCCTAGCCAAAATTTTTGAGTAATGCTAAACACCAATCGGGTGTTTTTTCCAACTCCAACACCTGGTTCGCTTCCCCCCAGAGCACACACGACTCCCTCCTCCCCGACGCGCACGCGCTCGGTGCTCCTCCCCACGCGGCTCCTCCCTCTCTCCCCTCTGGTGGCGGCGGCGACGGGTTCCAGCGGCGCCGGCGCTGACAAGGTAGGCCAGTCCCCCCCCCCTCCTCCTCCTCCTGGATCTGTTCCCCTCGTCTTCTTCCCCAGCTCTGGTGCGGCGGCTAGGGTTCCGGCGAGCCTCTCCCCCTCTTTCTTTTTCAACTCCGATGGGTATAGCAGGGGCCGGCCAGGGAGAGGCAGGCAGGGCAGGCGGTGTGGATGGTGGCC